GTTTGGTGTATTACTCATTATCATGCATTATTTCTTCTGGTATGTTGATGACCTCGCGGGCCTTACCTTTTTCTTGAGATCTTGACAATTCTGCCTTGAAATCCAGATGTCCTCTATCACAAATTACTCGTAGCTCTGCCGGTGATCGAGGTGTTACTTGACCGTGATGTTGCCTTGGTCGAGCCATGCAGCTCAAGTGGCTTGATTCGTGCAGCCCAGCACAGTTTGAACACTTGGGGATGTTGACCGTGCATTCTACTACTTCGTGTGTACCAGAGTATTTTTCACACTGCTGTCCTTTTACGCAGTATCTAGTTGAGTGATATCCCCAGCAGCGTTGACACTGCTCAATGGGGCACCGACGAGAGAAAGGTATGGCTAGTCCACTCTCATCAAACAGTCTGAATCTAAAGTTGGATGGCACCTATTTGGAGTGTATTATCCTGCTAACAGAATAGCTTCCTAACTTAATGTTGTTTGGGCGCACCTGTATTAGTGTAACTCCACAAACTGCCCGGTATTCCGTCTTCACCATTTCTCTGGTTACTTCTATCCTTCTGTCTAATTTACGGATGCAGATTGGTACATGAGGGACCATGACGGACATCCAATCTGAAGCAGGCTCAATTGTGATTTCCTCCTTTTGAAGTGAAGGATCCACACCTAGAATCGACTCCCTGAGTGCGTCTGATGCACACTCCACTGTAAGGCCAGACCTAACTCGTTCATCGCTATGATTGCTGAAGGTGCGGCTCTAGCTTTTTCAGTGATGAGTTTCTTTATTGTGACAGGTGATAACGTCCGCCACTAATGTTCTTGCCCCAAACAAAGGAAGAGTCGTTTATCTTCTTTCGGAGGCTCTTGTCCGGCTGGTCTTTGTTTTACCAGATTGGCTGGTGGTTTTGGGAGCTTGGCTGCTTTCTGAGCTACTGTGGCCCACAAAGAAGCAGTCTCCTTGGACTTTGTTGGCAGCTCAAGAAGAGGTTTGTTGATAGGTTTTGTCACCTTCGGTACGGAGTTTTTTAACTGTGTACTTTCCAGGGATTGGGTTTTGACTTGGAGAATCGCGGCATTGGCGTTACCTATCGTGAACGCTATCACGATGGGTGAAACATTTTCAATGAAAGGCGCGGCCCTAGTCGCGCCTTCGGTTCCTGCCTTGGATTTTGCCCAGGCTTTGATATTTTGCAGTGTTGAGATTAGAGGTTATACGACTGCACCTATTGCTGTCTATTAGTAACAGTGACTAAGCCTTGTGTCAGGCGTTTGTAGCGAGGTTGAAGCGAGGCTACGATTCTTTCACACACAGACATGGGGTTAAGGAGTTAATGGATCTAATACAATATTATTACATCTTTGTACATAGCATAGACATATATCTTCTATATTTGCCAGTCTCATACTCTTCTCTTCGCCTACTGATACTCTTCTCTATCACCATCGCATTACAGTCGCTCTCCACCTTTACAATATGCAGAAAATCCTGAGCTAGGCTCATCCGCTGCTTTATTTGGCGTTCTGATTACTCCATGGCAGCAGCAATCCCAAGAAGGCTCTGGTGTAAATGATCGCCTGGATTGATTGACGCCGAGGACGACGGCAGGTTGTACGCAGCCATGATGCTGCTTGATCTCTCGGGTTTGGGTACGGGGATAAATGTACTGATACCCGTGTATGGGATAAATGTTTGCGGGTCCTACTCAGTGTGATCAAATGGATGTTTGTCTGCAGGATGTTCACTCGAATTTGGTGTATGTATAATTTTGTATAATGCTAACTATACCACTTTAGTCTATGACTATCTAGCACGTTGGGCTCCTCTCTGACCCAGGTCACACCCTCTGAGTATTACTTGCCTCTTTTGTAACTTGAAAGATCATTAATATATTGCCTGTTATGGGTAGTCATTCAGCTCAGTTTTTACCCGTGGAATTCAGCCATCTTTCCTACGAAACCTTCTACCAAAAAAAAATGTAAGAATTGTATGTTCCGAAAAAACACTCAATAACCTATAGTTCAGTCATACAAGGAGCGTTTATCTATCTATATTTCTCTTATTTGTATCAAAAGAGGTCGACTTGGTTCAATGAACCACTCACGTATGGGGTGCTGGGAACGTTCCAGTTACCCATCGGAGGGCTTCACCTCTATGATTAAAGGTTGGCAAGGAGAAGGGCTTTGACTCTACTATCTGATCTGATGGTGGACAGCTTCATGATTATGCTGCTTGGGGATTGTCTAGAGTTACAGATAAGATAGACCGCAAAAGCGGTGAGAATCCTTATCGAAGTGAGGTTGACGGTGTTACTCAATCTCAGCTTTGCAGACTCTACAGTTACAGCCAAAGTATCGTTGGGGAAACCGCTGACGAATGGTTAGATTTCGTGCTCTGACGGCAGTAAGAAGTTGGGTGAAGCTCTCAGACAGCAAACACACTGTAAAGACTTTTCTGATATTTCAATGAGATCTTCGGGAGATAGTTCGGGGTATAACTCTTAGTGTCTATCAGAACATGTACAACAGATTGGATACATGAAGTACCATTAACAAAAGGCTTAAAAGAAAGCTCTAGCAGTCCTTGATTATCTTAAATTTGGTGGAGACTTAAAATCTTTTTTAGTCTATTTGGGATGGAGCTTGGAAAGAGCTAGAAGGTCAGAGATTGAATCATCTGGACACATAGAGGTCTGCAGCGCTGATTTGGGCGTTTTGCCCAAACGCTTCACCTCTTGTGGTTCCGATGCTTTGGCTTAGCCTGGCTGCGGCTGCAGGTTTTTTGAGACTTTTTCTCTAGCACGCAGTCTCCATTGCTACCATATTTACTATGTTTTGGTAGAAGGTTCCGTGGAAAAGGTGGCCAAATTCTAAAGGTGAATACTGAGCTGAATGGCTATCCATCAAGGGCAACATATCAATGATCTTTCAAGTAATAAAAGAGGATAAGAGCACTGTACAAAGTGTGGCCCGGGTCAGAGATGAGCCCAATGTGTTTGATAGTCTTTGACTCAAGTAGTACAATAAACACACCTCTATCTCCTCGAACGCTTCAGAAGGATAGCACTGTCTACGGATTTAAGTCTAGTTTCGCTGTCGCGGAACTTCGTATGCAGCTGTTGAGGTTTTTTCAGCTTTCACGCATCCGCAGTTTGCCTATACTGCAATAGCTGGAAAGGACAAATGTAACAAGTGTGAAGGGGTCCTAGGGGTGCGTGGCGAAAGAATCATTTTGAAAGAGGTTTTGGTATGGTGAAAGCTGAGCCGGAGGCACAGACGTTCGTAGCTCATGAGTAAGCTCTACATGATCTGTAGAATCTAGGACTAATAATATCATAATCATTACAGAAAAAAGAATCCCCCACAGAAACACACCCTCTAACATCCACCGAAACCTGAGCAGGGCCCAAAGTAATATTTCAATACAGATGAGAAGTGGGCATATCGGCCTCAATTCTTATCTGTATAGAAGAAAGATCCCTGGAGTGGCAAATCCAAAGTACCAGAGTGGAAATCCGTCACAAAACGTGAAACATTCGGTCATGGCTTGTCCTCAATGGGCTAAGGGAAGAGGAGAGTTGCTGCAACAGGCAAAAGATAGTTCTTTCGGAGCTATGATGAACAGCCCGGATGACATGAAGAAAAATACAGAGTGGATACTTAGTAACGGCTAGCTTGAACAGTTCCGGCTTGCAGAAGAAGTTGAGACAGCAGTCAGTGAAAGGATTGAGCGATCGTGAAAAGGATAGGACAGTATTTACACTGGACGTACAGTGTAAACACACTTCCTGTAGGACACCTTAGGAAACCAATAGATAAGAGATAGACAGTGTTGGGGGGGTTTAACCGAGTTGGTTTCCTCCATTTTAGATATAAAAGCTAGATGTATATATAGTTCATTGTCCTGATTTGGGCTTTGAGGCCCATGCAGGTGTGCGTTTGTGTTTATTGTGCTACTTGAGTCTATGACTATCTAGCACATTGGGCTCCTCTCTGACCCAGGCCACACCTTGTACAGTGCTCCTATCCTCTTCTGTTACTTGAAAGATCATTGATATATTCCCCTTGATGGATAGCCATTCAGCTCAGTGTTTACCCGTGGAATTCAGCCACCTTTTCCACGGAACCTTCTACCCAAAAAAAATAAAAATAGTAGCAATGGAAACTGCGTGCGCGGGAAAAAGTCTCAAAAAACCTGCAGACCTAGCCAGGCGAGGCCTAGACACCGGGACCAAATGAGGTGCGCATATTCATCTGTATCTCCCTTCTTTGTAACAGTCGAGGCCGACTTGATCCAATCCACTATTTCCGTATCGGGTGCTGGGTACGCTCCGGAAACTCATCGGATGGCTTTTCCTCCATGATCAAGGGTTGGTGATGAGTAGGGCTCCGATCTTGACATCTGATCTGATCGTGGTAAACTTCATCATAGTGGTGATAGGGGAATGTGTTGAGAGATGAAGACGATACAGACCGCGAAAGCGATTGGGAATCCTCTTCAAAGTGAGGACTTTGGTACTCAATCTCGGCTCTGCAGACTCTACAGTGAGAGCTGGAGGTTCGTAGGGGACACCGCTGACAGGTGTTGAGAATAGTCCCCCAGGCCCATGCAGGTTTTTATCGGAAAATATGTACTTTAAATAGGATGACTCAATTTGACATTTTGAACACTCACATTCAGATTTCATTTGCAGATACAACAGCTAGATATACCTGAACGGGCTAAATAAAATCAAATCGAAATTATCAAGTTGACCTTGAGGCCCATAATTTGAAGCAGTTGGAACTGATTATGTAATTTGTGTCTCAATTAACAATTGTGGGGCGGCTTCTTCTTCAATACCACCCCCTTCTCGCTGAACAGAGCATATCAACAAACAATGATAGACATGTATTTATTTAGGAGCCATCAAGCTAAGGTTTAAAAATATTATATTGAATCATCACTAGCCTAGAACTTATTTGAATGTTATCCTCGGTTCCCCTGCACACTTAAACAGAAATTTATGGCGATACCTTCAGTTGGTTCCCGAAGTTGTGAGGAACTTTTCCACGACAAAAGGTTCTTTCTCCTCCAAAAGATTCCAGATCGTAGTCATGTCAAGGAACTGATAACGGTATATCGACCAATGCTATGAAAAATCAACTAATTCTAAATAACAGCAGAAGAGAGGAGGTGTGGTCGTTAAAGTTGAGGAGCAAGCAGACTTAGTAATTGCAGACCATGACGGAAAGTTTGCACCTCCTGGATCTATTTCTTGGACCTATATTAGGGATTCGGACGAAAAAGGATACTTGCAGAATGTCAATGACCATCTGGCGGGACCTACATCTTTAAGTGCACCTAGATCCCTCACAATGAAGTTTAAGCAGAGTACAAGGACAGTTTTTTCCAAGGAGGATGACAAATTTCTTTACAAACATTGTATTAGCGCAGAAAAAGAGGGCATCAAAACTAACGGGAATAAATTCTACCAAAAATTAGAGCAGATGGTAAGAAGACTAGAGCTTTCTCATTGAGATTTTAATTTATAATTTCCCTAGAATAATCGGCATACGTTTCAGTCATGGCGGGATCGTTGGATTAAAAAAGGCCCTTTCCTCAAACAGAAATATAGCAATGAAATTGCATGCGAAAATATTGCCCAAGACCACCACTCAACTGGAAACCGATCGAATGTCACAGATATTCAACATCAACTAGAACTTGAACCAAACTATCGAACCCCTAACAAATCTCCAACACCAAATCAAGATGTGATAAAAAACCCAAGCTTAAAGCATTCTGAATTGAAAATAAACATACCTCAAGACCAAATCATTGTCTCACCAGGGGGTGAATTCACCCAGTATGAAACTGATTTACTGTTAGATGCGTATACAGATATCATGGAAGTAGATGAAGCTCAAAGTATAGCTGCATGGATGGCATGGGCATATGAGGTAATTTATCTGCAGGCTCATAAATCCACGATCACTTAACTTTTTTAGTATCCAAACCACACAGCGCAGGAATGGCGAAATTACTTTGTGGAATACGTAAAGCCAATGCACGATAGAAATTCCTCCGGAACCATGGAAATCAGCACGAATTTGGAAGCCACAGCAAGCCCTCATGCGTTAGCAGACCAATCACTTGTCACAAATGTATACGCACCGATCAAAAATCTGGAAGATGGCAATCTCCAGCGCACTCCAGGATCTAACATGTCACAAGATTATAATATTTTAAACGAGAAAGGTTTTAGAAAGGCAGTTCAGAGAATTGCTACGAAGGTTCACTTAATATTCAATGAAAATTTAGAAATCTGTGGTCGAAAAATACCGCTATCTGAAATCTGGAAAACTGCACAGCTACCTGAATTTGGGGGACTCGATAAAATTACTGAGAACAATCTGTGGTGTTCGATAGCTCGGAAACTCGGGTTTAATTCCCGGGATACTGCAGCAGCAAATGAGTTAAGCTACTGTTACCATGAAATCCTAGCCAGGTTGGGAAAGGTAAGTGTTAGTTTACATAGTAGAACATTTTCTCGTGAATCTCAAGCTAAGGATCCTGCGCAGAATGGTTTTACAATTGATTCCGAGAAGAAAAATGAGAAAGTTATCTATACAGATCAGGTAACACATATGGAAGATAATTGCAATTCTGAAGGACGAAGCATTCAAGTCCCTCTTCATAGTTTGCAAAAATCTGATGGAAACTCGCTAAAAAGAAGGATTAACCAGCATTCCAAGCTCCAAAAATATGCCGAAACGAAGCGTCGACGAGTAAATGACAACAAAGATGCATCGTTGGAGGTCCCAGCCACCCCGGAAGAAAAAATAACTGCCAGTTTATCAGCCCTTCTGTTTGATGGAAAATTGTCGCCAGTTAACCAGCTATCTCTGGGGTCGTTTGAGAAGAATGAGAACGAAATATTAAGTCCATTTGATAAATCTATACATTATAATCGACGGTTAGACTTTCGAGCCCCAAATTCACGGTTTGTTTCACCTTCAGAATTTCATGATATGGATCAAGAAGCTCCATATTCTTTAATTCCACCAGTATCAAGTCAAGAGTATGGTACCACGTCTAAACTCGTATCAGGCAAGCACTATGAAAAATTAGTAACCCAGAAGAATGAAGTTGCCAATGAAGCTCATAAAGATTGTTTGAGCCCCTGCTTAGAGACCAGTTGCAAGAATTATAATTATTGTGAAAGCCAAAGCCTAGGCACGGAAGATGATTTTGGTCAGCATTTGATTGGAAAACAAAAATCTTGCACTCCACTGTTGAAACTTTGCCAAAAAACGGAATCTTCAGTTTGTTCTCAAGGTCATACACACGACAAGCTTACAACCTCTACTCTTAAAAATGTAACCAATGATGTACCCGAGGAGAGAAATAGGGACCTACTTCAAGAATTCATCACTGATCAAGTCATTGGTCTAGGCTTTCCACAAGATGTGATTATTGAAGCCCTGGAAGCCACATCAATGAAGATTGGCCTCGAGTCGCACATACAGCAAGTCATGGATAGCATATTAAACGGTGATGGTATCCCGGATAACTTATCAGGGGTATGGACACTAGATGATGATAAGGCTCTAAAAGAGCAAGCTAGAGGAAAAGAATACGAACGTATAGTCAAAAAGCATGGAAAAGAAGAGATCAAACTGCGGCATCAGTTTTGGATTGATATGGAGGATGCAGATGATACTGGATGAGGCGATTATCTGTACATCTACACTTCTAACCCCAAATTCTATATCTAGTATCAAAATTTGCTGGCAAAAGTTGTACTTTCCTGCGGGGTTCACCTTATACCAGACAATAAGTAAAAACTTACCTTGGCTATCATAGAAATCTCAGATGTGCATCTAATTCGCTAACTCAATTACGCACCTTCCTTTGGCTCATTGTCAAATTTATTGAGATTTTCTTGAATGTAAACAGCCTTTTTCTGAAATTACCAACAAATTTCGTCCAACTTGGAGCAAATATTAAAGTGTCGTCCTGTTTTCAAGAAGACTGGTTACGGATAGTCAAAACCTCATTTGCTTGTAAAGACTTTTGTTGCTACTCAGTGATTAACCTTTCACCGTTTTGACGTCCAACGAATTGTGGATGAGGTTAAAGATGAACTTTCAACAAATTACTGGCTTATAGACTATAATATCATCAGGTATGTTAGTACTAGCTCAAAATTGTTCATCGGCTTACCTGTTCAGCCTGGATGACCACATGCCATCAGTCAATTTAATTTCAGAATGAGAAAACAAACCTATAGTTGACTGTTAAATAAATAACGACAAGGAAGTAGAATAGAGAGTGGCCTAGACCAAAAAGGAGAAGTAAGAGGAGATGACTTCATTCTCAAAAATTTAGAAATCTAATATATGATTAGACAATTTATGAGTTAAAGTATGAGTCCAACACCTCTCTCAAATGAAAAGAGGGAAACATATCTTGAACGTCACCTTCACATCTTTTGTATAAAGCGACTTTCTGAATGTGGGTATTTTTGTGAAGAAAAATACTTAACTTTGTGCCAGCGCATAAGACTTAAGGGCCCAGTGCCGGTTAGCTCAGTCTACATGGACTACCTGAAGTGCCGGCGCCCCAAAAGAGCCTAGCAAATTAAAAATTGAAGCCCAGCCATAGCTCAGTGTCAAAGGACGAGAATCACGGATGCTGCACGCAAAGGCTGCCACAAAAAAATATATATTTTCCTATAAGAGAGAAGAGGTCCAGTGGGACTGTACTGACATGAAGTGTGTCCTGATGACCGCTAATGTATGTAGTTATTCAGCGACGTGCCTTGTACAACAGGCAGACATATTTGTCGAATCCCAACTGCATGCACGGCTGGGCCACTAGGTCGGCCCAGTCACTGATAGTGGGCAAACCCCGTATCACTCAGCGCCCCGGAAAGTTACGAGATATTTGAAGGATTGGCTGTCTCTGCCAACCTTCTAGGTATGTGTGATGTGTTTATTGTACTACTTGAGTCATAGACTATCTAGCATATTGGGCTCCTCTCCGACCCAGGTCACACCCTATACAGCATTACTTGCCTCTTAGTCTCTTGAAAGATCATTGATATGTTGCCCTTGATGAATAGCCATTCAGCTCAGTATTTACCTTCGGAATTTGACCACCTTTTCCACGGAACCTTCTACCAAAGTATAATACATATAGTAGCAATGGAGACTGCGTGCGCGGGAAAAATCTCAAAAAACCTGCAGACCTAGCCAGGCGAGGCCTAGACACCGGGACCAAATGAGGTGCGCATATTCATCTGTATCTCCCTTCTTTGTAACAGTCGAGGCCGACTTGATCCAATCCACTATTTCCGTATCGGGTGCTGGGTACGCTCCGGAAACTCATCGGATGGCTTTTCCTCCATGATCAAGGGTTGGTGATGAGTAGGGCTCCGATCTTGACATCTGATCTGATCGTGGTAAACTTCATCATAGTGGTGATAGGGGAATGTGTTGAGAGATGAAGACGATACAGACCGCGAAAGCGATTGGGAATCCTCTTCAAAGTGAGGACTTTGTTACTCAATCTCGGCTCTGCAGACTCTACAGTGAGAGCTGGAGGTTTGTAGGGGATACCACTGACAGGTGTTGAGAATAGTTCCCCTGTGAGCAGCAGAGGTAGATGTCATGAAAATACAATCCAGTGTCCGGATTCCTAGAGGCTGTACGTGCCTTTAAACACGTAGAATCTATGGAGGGCCTGGCCCGCTGTTCTTTGTCCACCATTCTTTTGACTAAAGCAAATACTGTAGATATCTAATAGGAACTTTCTATTTTTTTGCTAGCAGTTCAGAATTTTTCCAAAAATAGTAGAAATTTGTAGAGAAGTCCATGACTCTAGAGCTGTAATATTTTCTACATGGTCAAGCGATCCTTTGTTACAATAATAGCCCTACCACCGAGCAGACTTGGCAAAACTTCAGTCTGGCGACGAAGGAGGTTATGGCTCGCTCTCATCAAGAGTTTATTGATCGATCTGCATAATCTTCCTGACGCTAACGTTTATTGGTTTTAAGCCCGACTATTTCTAGCCGAGTTTAAGCTGACACAACAAGGGCTTGGATACAAACTTCGCTAAGTTCAATGATGAACAGATTGTTATTTGTGAAAGCTGATAATTTGAGGATGTCGGACAACTGCATGTTTATCGATTTACCTTTAAAATGGTACTGAATGGAATTAACTTCAAGTCGAGACTCTTAGCTCGACTACCTCGCAAAATAATATTGTAGCAATCCAAAAAACAGCTTCGGTTGAGTGATGAGTACTCCGCATCATGATGTTAAAGTCATGGAGCCTTAAGATTACATTTCATGCATCAACAAAAATTAAACGTGATTAAACGCCTTGTCGTCGCACAGAATTGGAGTTTATTGTGAATATGGATCCACACAAGGTTCATCCACTCTGTATACAACCGTATGATGATGTCGGATGCTGTGACTTTTAATTTGAGCCACAATTTTAGCGTCATTAGCGAGCCAATGAAATTTGCACTACGGACCCAATCCGATAATTTGAGCAACTGCGATTGGGCCTCCTGTTACTCACTCAGAAAATAAGACAATCTCAATTACTTGTACCAAACTACCTTTCTCAGATTGCGACCGAGTCGACACACCCGTGTATCAAAATCTAGCACGAGAAATCTCTAATCTTGATATCATCGTGCGTATCTAGTCTTCGATCTCTACCAATATGGTAAGATGCTTTTCCCTGCTACTGAATCGATCACCAGAGCCGTGCAATGCTTCGAGGCCGCAATAGAAAGTGAAGGGGTCGCGCCTGCTTTGATTCTTCAGTTTGACTCTTTGTCCAGGAATGACCCTTTACTGATATTTGAACCTACGTAGCAACGTCCCCAAACTTATAACGCCAATCCCGTATATCTACCAAACGGAGCTACTGGGGGAAATACTGGGCTGCCCCCAGGAGCTGCGCCTTTACTTCCAAATAATGGTCGTATTATTCAGAATGGAGGAGTTAGAATACTGTGTGTGGCAGATGTACGAGGTATAAATATTTTTTTAAATTATTCAAAGAGTTTATAACTAAAAATGAGAACAGGAAACCTAAAATCTCTAAATGACCTGGCTAAGCAAGCACGCGCCGATCACATAATACACACGGGGGATTTCGGATTCTACGATGGCACTTCGCTGGAGCGCATCGCAGAGAAGTAAACTTCATAAAACTTGTTGCTGACTACACTATCTAATATTTTTGCAGAACATTGAAGCATGTAGCCCAATACTCTCCTCTTATATCAGAAACAGTTAAGAAAACCATAGCAGCTTCTAATGGGCCAGTTAAAACGCGATTTAATCACACAGAACTTCCGTTATCCGAACTTCCCCTGTTTCTCAACGGTAGCTGCAAACTCGACGTTCCAGTTTACACTGTCTGGGGTGCGTGTGAAGATGTACGAGTACTTGAAAAGTTCAGATCAGGAGAGTATAAAGTTGATAAGCTTCATGTTATCGATGAAGCTCGTTCAATGTTGCTGGAGGTCGGTGGTGTTAAGTTGCGACTTCTTGGTCTAGGTGGTGCTGTTGTCATGCACAAGCTTTTTGACAATGGAGAAGGACGAACAACAATTGCCGGTGGTCAAGGTACCATGTGGACTACCCTTTTACAAATGGGTGAGCTAGTGGACACAGCAAACAGGGTTTACGATCCTACGGAAACCAGAATATTCATTACTCACGCCTCACCGGCGCGTGAAGGAATTTTAAATCAGTTATCAGTCACTCTGAAAGCTGATTTTTCTATATCTGCTGGCCTGCATTTTCGCTACGGAAGCTCTTACAACGAGTTCAGTGTCAACCCAACTCTTGATCATTACCGCGGCAAGCTTGCTGCATCGAAAGCGTCTTTCAACGATGTCTGGGAAACGGTCAAAGGTGAGGTTCAGCCCGCCATAGCCCAAAATGAAGCTCAGCAAAATCTTCTTCAAAATGCCCTGGGTGTAGTTGACAAGATGCCAAGTACAGCTCTTGGTGGAAACCCTTTTGGCGGACCAGTAGGCGGGACTAACACTTCAGCAATTGGCCAGGTAGATGAAAGTGCTTTCAAAAACCTGTGGAACTTCAACTTGGCTGACGCGGCTTTTGGCTGGCTGGTATTGGAGGTACAAGACAGTCGAATTGGAACTGAGATGAAAGCTCAGGGTTTTAACTTTGCGCACAGAGGAGCGAAGCAAACCTCAGGTATCCAACCTTCTGCGGCTGCTTCTGGAACGGCTGGACCGAGCCAACCTCTAACAGCAGCTCCCAGTTTAGCGGGGTCCTCTCAACAAGCTTCTCACCCACAAGCTGCATCACAATCATTTAATCAGGGCCAGTCGCGCCTCTCTCAAACACAAACTTCTCGTGTTCCTATAACTCATGAAGCCATACCTCCGCCAACATCTCAACTGCAACAAAATTCATCCACCCCAGCCCCTCAGCAAAGTACAGCCGAAACACTCCCTGAAAAGGTTGAAAATGAAAACACACAGGCTACTGGAGAGGAGACGGGCACAAATGGCGTTGAATCCACATCTTCCGTCACCAAGTCACAGCCTGCAGAAATTATTGGTTTATTTATAATGAACGTAACTACGGATGAAGCAGTACGAGAATTATTTAACGATGAAGATAGAGAAAAGATTACCAGGATCGAGAAATGGGGACAATCCAATAAAGTCGCCCATTTCAAATCCTTTCAGGAGCGGGACACTGTTTTAGCTAATCTCCCAGACGATGTAAAGCTGAGGGCCGGGGAGGACCGCAGTAGGCCATTGGTCAAGGTTTTTCAAGTCCGGGAGAGTAACAAGAGTTACTCAAATAGCCGAGGTGGAGTCGGCAATTGGGGCAGCGGAAGAACCGGAAATACTGGGCCTCCACACGGTGGATACCGTAGTGGTGGTGGTGGCGCTAGCGATAGTGAAGGCGGTCGAGGAGGCCGAGGGGGACGTGGTGGGCAAAGAGGTAGAGGAGGCGAGCGTGGGCGAGGGCGAGGGAGAGGTTTCAAAAGTGACTCCTCGCCCGTAACGACCAACGCTACCCCGGCTCCAACTGGGGACGCGTAAATTATATGCAGTATTGATTTATTTTCATTAGAGAGTTCACCTTTTAGTACATCTTCTTAATGGTCAACTCATTGATAATAGGAAAATCGGGTATATGCAATTTAGGAGGAAGTTAGAGCTGAATAATGTAGCTTAAGGACAGGATGGAGTTCCCAGCATAATCCGATGTGGAGTTGAAAACGGCTTGATGCTCTCCAAGATTTCTGCGGTAGAATATGAGTTTGGATTCCTGGCTCGCAGATGCTGTCGTACTTGGCCAAAATAGCTAAGCGATAACTTCTCGTGCCTTCATAAAAGTATATTATACAAATCACAAGCATGTGTGAGTGTGACTTTCAACAATTGCTAAAAATTATGAAAATTTTAGTGCACATAGCAGTAGAAATATGATCAGAGCAAGGCCAGGATTAGCCCAATCAATAGCCAAGCACAGGACAGATAGCGGGACTGAAACCACAAGCAAATTAAATTTTGTAGTATTTACAGTTTTTGGATAAGGTTTTGTTAATGATTTCTATGCTTTCTGTGGGGATTCAAACGGTGCGAATGAGTTGGGTCTGTAAGCAATGATCCCAGCGGGCTCCAACGGCTCTGTACCCATGTTGGATTTGGAGCTTTAGTCTAGGACTTATACAAAAAAAAAATAGATATTAAGTCTATTCCGACCATCAAACGGAAACCTAGATTTATCTTGACGACATTAGGCTACTTATTCACCTTGGAATGCAGTAAGATCATATTCTTCAGGATAGGTTTCTAAGACGCTTTTGAGCTCGAGCATTTGTGTTTTAGTCTCAGAGGTCATGTCTTCATAAACATCCTCAAACATAGTCCTTATGGGTGGTTTCTTCTCTTCCTCGGCCTCGGCAAAAGCCTGTAGTATTTCTTTACGTAATCTCGTTCGCGTTGTGTGTTCATGTTCGTCAGTCCACACTCCGCGCTTCTCTAAGTACCTGCGAAGTCGAGAGACAGGATTGTCGCGCCGTTTCCAATCTTCTACTTCGATACGGGCTCGGTAGGCGAATGAGTCATCGCTAGTTGAGTGATGCGAAATTCGGTACGACATGGCTTCAATGAGGACCGGTCGTCCACCATCCTGCAGCGCAATTTCTCGTGCACGCCTAGTGACTTCACGCACCGCGAACACATCGTTACCATCTACGCGGATTGTGTCAACACCATAGCCGACGCCCCGGCTAGCGATCCCATCACCTCTATATTGCTCAAGTGTTGGTGTACTGATTGCGTAGCCGTTGTTTCGACAAATGAATATGATTGGACAAGACCGTGTCGCAGCTATATTAAGTGCAGCATGAAAATCACCTTCACTAGCGGCTCCTTCTCCAAAGTAGCAAGCTACTATTCTAGATGGGATACTTGGATTTGTGAGTCTTTGTACTTTGAGTGCGTAAGCAGCTCCCGCGGCCTGAGGGATTTGGGTAGCTAGTGGTGAGGAAATGGTATGCTTCGTGACATCAACTTAGCTTGATTACTGGTGGTATTAGAATTTACTCACCATATTTAAAGATTTGCTCCCGTAGTGGATAGGCATGTTCCGTCCTTTCCCGGGATCTTTTCTATTCGCACAGAGTTGATTCATGAAGTCTGAAAATGCAAAACCGCGCTGTTTGAATACTCCTGCTTCACGATATTGGGAAAAGACGACATCTGCATTTTCTAACACAGAAGCTGAGCCGACACATATGCCCTCCTCGCCCTGACAAGTCATGTAAAAACTGAGTCTCCCTTGACGTTGCGCATCGTACATAATCATATCCATAATACAAACTCCCAACATGTTGATATACATGTCAAGGGCAATCTGGTCCGATACTAGGGTGAATTCTGGGTCAATTATTTCTCCATCAGGAGCCATTGCACGGTAGGTAGGGATCGCAGGGTATGAAGAGGGAAGCTCGAATTTCAAGGTCTTGGTAAACTTGCTGTTAACTGCACCTGGAAAGCATACGCTTCCACCAATGAGCAAATGCCTGTATGGATTATTCTCGAGACTGACCTTGCAGCGCCAGGTCGCTGGGAAAGAGATGATGAGCATCTCAAGCGACAGATGTTTGAATTCAATATCAAATTTACACGAGTTGGCTGGAGGAAGCGCTTCATGGCATAAATTTGGCAATAATATGACAAGTAGTTGAATCTACTGACTAGATTTCGTGATAGGCTCCGGCATCAGGATTGTTGGCCATGCTATTGAAGATACATACATATGGATTCGGCGTGATGTCACAGTCAACCAGTACCATGCGATTACTTGGGCCGTGTGAGGCCGCCGCTAGCCTTAAGACAGCTTCGCCACGAAGCACATCAAGTTTCAGTTGGAGTTGAGGTAAGCCCTAGATGCTCAGGAGACCTAGAAAATCCCGGGACTGCGGGTAGACTGTCAATCTATTCAGACTGCTGTGAATATAGGAAGCAACGAACGTAGTACTGTAGTTGAAACTATCCTTGGCTTGAGACATTGCTTTTAATTTCAGAGATAAGTGCGCGGAAGCTGATTACTAGTTTTTTTGTGCTTGTCCCCTGTTTAATTTGTAACTATATCCACTTAATCTTATATTTTTTAACATTACACCTACCTAGGCTCAGGCCTGGCGGAAGTTCTGAGGATTTTGAAATGTTATCTTTTATCATAGAAGGTACCAGTGCAGGGAAGCGGAGGCGGGTCCCAACGCTCGTCATAACTGTCTTGGGTCGACAAGGATCAATTCTTTAGCTTCTAGTGTAGGCTAGGGAATCGCATCCGATCCGAAGCCGGTGCCAAACAAGAGCACGTCTGTAATCGCCGAATTCTCATCAGTATAGGTCTTGTCACTCTTTCTTGAGTCTTCTACGAAACTGGAAATGAGATATTCTTGCAGAGCCGAATTCATTCACATTTCGCAATACAGAAGAATTTGGCTCATGAGGCAATGAATCAAAATACTCTGCCATGTCAATCTTTTACTCCCAACGAGATCGATTCCTACAAAAGCCTCAAGCCTACAAGTATAGCCAATTAAATCCTCATTTCAAAGACTATACCACTCATCGTCTCATTCTCTGGTTTCAGCCGGCCACCAAGTTCATACCCATTTACGCTCGAGTTAGTCCTTCATAGCCAGACTCAATAGGGCTTAAATTCAATTCCATACTCGAATTAGGAGACAAATAGTGGCGGAAAATCTATGGGTCCGATTACAGGGATGGGCTTTAGAGATATTAGGACAGAATGGCAATATTATACTAGGTGTCGGGGGGTTTTTTTTGCAGCAGATTTTAATTGCGTATGCAGCTATCTAGCTATGTCACAATATCAAAGAAAAGTACAGAAAAGATAACTCTATTTACAAGAAGAGCACTCATGCCTCGGATTTCATTTGCAAGTACCACTGCCAAGTTATGGCGGCTTTTTCTTCACCCCAAGTCAACCCTCATCCGTGAACACCCACCCAGGGGAACGTCTCAAAAACCCTGAGTTATCCAGACATGCCTCCGTCATCTTTCAACTTTTCTCCGCGCGAAATGTAATCTGAGATGTCTCCTTCCCAAGTGGAGTAGGTGCCCAGGCTACTCAAACTATACCATAGAACATCACCAGGAGGCGGACCACAACACCTTCCATCGTTTGCTTGTTTTTATAGTGTCAGCTGCACTCTCGCAATCGAAGTCCTGGCGTGCACAAGGCTCAATTCGTAAAACTCCTTGCCAAAATTCAAAATCACACGCCCGTAGAGATTGTATCCATCCTCCGTGTCATCTTGTAAACTTGTCCTAATCCTCTCACGTCCGTCCCAAAGAGCTATCTCCCAGATTTGTGCGCCACGCTTTGCTTCCTCCGTCGGGTATAAATATCGGCGTGGGCGTGTATTTGGTGACCGGCTGAGGCCAGAGAAAGTCGACGAGAGGTGTGGTCATTGAAACGAGGATGTACTAGGTCGTACTTGTAGACTTGATGAAGCTTAGTTGAGAATCGGACTCTTTGGGAGTGAAAGATTGACATGGTGGAGTAATTTGAATTTTTGCCTCGCGGGCCAACTTCTTTGATATTGCGAAATTTGACTGAACTTGACTCTGGGAGAATATTTCACTCCCAGGTTCGTAGAGGACACAGCGTACAGGTGTCCCATCTTGCCCTCCTAGGTGTCGGTTGGTAATATACACGTGTACGCGTACGCAATGGGTCTCTCGATGATGTGGTTGTTCCTCTTCTTCTATTTCTCGGATACAGGCGTGTCAGCCTCAAGGGCGACACGCCAAGCTGCACCAATCCACGTGACTAACTATCAATATATTTTGATCTCTCACCTGACCCATGAACGTCCCAAAACAGTGTTGCGACACTAGGGATGAATAAAATATTGATGGGAATGGATTTCTAATTTTGAACAGTAAGTTTTCACGATGAGTGATTTTCGCGCTCGAGACTTCGTCTGCGTGAGTGTTGCCAGCATCATGAATACAACATTAGTTGAGTGGTGTGACGGTACATAATACAGGCTGGTCTCTGAAGTGCAAACTGGATAGTCCTAACATCTATCCCGCTCGAGACTGGAAATCGATGGCTCAAACGAAGCAATGAAGTACCACGATTTTCGCGGTGCTAATGCGTACGAAAGTCAAATCCTATTACAGCTCCCCTCTGGTGGCTGCTCACGGAGAAGGATTGGCTGTTCTGCGTAAGGAAGCATACCTTACAGTGGTGTTCGCGAATAAAATCCAGAACATGGGTGTCTTTGTAGCGAAAAGAGTCATTCTACATGTATTCAACAGATTGATCATGTGCTGTAGCTCTTAAGCTGAATGCACACCAAATGAAATAAAAAGAGATATCCCTGTCCACAATAAAAGTAGCCTCTATCTCTTTTACAGTGTCATTTTGTAGATCTACAAACCGAAACTAACAAGTCTAGTAGCCTCTCTATTCATACACACCATTTGAAAAGTCCACGTTTACAGGGACTTTTGGAAACTAAAATGCTCTTCGGTGAGCATTTCTGGCCAAGGCTTTTCTGAAATTCCATCTGGTGCTTAGCTTGATCCACCGCAGGGGTTTGGAGAGTGTTTAGAATGGGACAAGAGTGGAAGAAGTGCACTATTTGTTGTAGAGATATCTATTGCGCTTGACTCGAAGCTCCCACCATGTGTTGTAATCAGGCCCACTTATAGATCACACATCTTGAAATGGCTAATGTTAAGCAAGTGTAACCGACAGGACAAGCGATCCTGTGTCAGTGGTACGTCATCGGTATACAGCAATGACAACACCAGTATCTCAGCTAGACATGATAATATGAGAAAATGACGCAGCCATATCTAATGATATCATTGTTGAATGGCTGAATGGTTGGGAGTTATTAATATTCATGGTATGTTTTATGTACCGTCTATGTATGTAAATACTCGCTGTTAGACCTCTGTACATGATCAATCTTTTTGACCCTTATTTCAGTATTCATCAACATAGCAGATCTACAATTCATATCCGTCTTCACGTTAGACTTAAAGCACTATCCTGTATCTACCCACGCTGAATGTTACATCCATTGCGACAACCCTTAGACTTCTAATAACATCGTTATCACACTACTATGCACTTCAAATGGGTGTTATTATTTGTAGAAATAGTTCCAAAATCCTCAGCACCTCTGTGTTCGGTGTCGCTGGCGATTTTTCCAAGTAGAGAACTTCTTGTTATTCACCTTAGCATAGTTGACTGGAGGAGGGCAAGACTAGATACCTGGGTGCGGTGTTTTCTACGAACCTGGGAGTGAAATATTCTCCCAGAGCCAAGTTCAGTCAAATTTCGCAATACCGAACAAGTTGGCCCACGTGGTAATGATTTAAATTACTCTACCACGTCATTTTTTCGCTGCCAACGAGTTTGACTTATACCTAAGTCTCATCAAGCCTACAAGTACGACCAAGTACATCCTCATCCTCATCCCAATGACCATACCACTCTTTGGCCTTCTCTGGCCTCAGCCGGTCACCAAATACACGCTCACGCCGATATTTACACCCGTCTGAGGAAATAAAGCGTGGCGCACAAATCTGGGAGACAGCTCTTTGGGATGGACGTGAGAGGGATCAGGACAAGTTCAAAAGATGTAAAGGAATGATATAACCACGAAGGAGGTGAAATTTGAATTTTGTGATGGAGTTTTACCGATGGTGCTTTGTGAGCGCGGAATCCTCGCTTGCGAGAGTGCAGCTGACACTATAAACACAAGCAAACGATGGAAGGTGTTATGATCCGCCTCCTGGTGGTGTTCTCTGGTATGGTTTGAGTAGCCTGGGCACCTACTCCACTAAGGATAGAGACGCCTCAGACCACATTTTGCGCGGAGACAAGTCAGTGGATGACCAAGACATGCTTAGATAACTCAGGTCTTTGAGACGTTCCCCTGGGTTCATATTCACAGATTAGGGTTGACTTGGGGTGAAGAAAAAGTCGCCATAAATTCGCAGTGGTACTTGCAAATAAAATCTGAGGCATGAGTTCTCTTTTTGTATATTGAGTCATATTCTCTGTAACTTTTCTCCTGTATTGTGTAATAACTAGATAGCTGTACGCAATTAAAATCTGGTTCAAAAAAGGCTGACTGGAGAGAAGTGTCAACGACTAAATAGCTGCTTTTTATGAGATTTGAATAGATCTTCAGGGATGTTACAGCTTGACATAGGTCATGAAAAAGGCACAATACGCAATACACAGCCCGACGAATAAGTACTTCTGCATAGAAGGAATATAGGGCTTGAACGACACAGCTAGGGCTTGAGTTTGTTAGGAGAGAGTAAAATTCAAGCTTACATGCTCATAGCTAGTTTCTGAAAAATTTCACCATCAATCTAATCCGGAATACATATTATATATTATAAATTATAAGTCAAAAGCCTTCGAGCGGCTTAACACCTTTGTGAATGGCTGCAATACCCCCAGTTAAATCTTCCCACCCCTTACCAGGGATCTCAAAGCCGGCTGCTTGGATCATATTCCTAAAGGTCTGCTGATCTGGAAACTGCTCAATACTCTCTACAAGATATTGATAACTTGCACGATCCCCAGATACTAACTGACCAATCAGTGGTATCGCACTAAAGCTCCATTGCTTATAGACAGCATTGAAATATGAATTTTTCACGCTGCTAAATTCTAGGCAGGCAAATAAGCCGCCTGGCTTCAAAACACGAAATGCTTCTGCTAATGCAGTTTCTTTGTTGGTAAAGTTGCGAATTCCAAAAGCAACTGTGTAGAGATCAATGCTGTTGGAAGGTACTTCATCTAAATGTTCTGCATTCGCAAGCAGAAATTTTAATCGAGGAGAGTTTGCGTAGGGCGTTGCCAGAGAGCGCTTTTTCCCCTCGCTGAGCATGCTAGAATTGATATCTGATATAGTTATGCAAGATTCGAAGGATTGGTTGATTCTATCGCAATGACTTAGTAGACGGAAGGCGATATCACCCGTGCCGCCGGCAATGTCTAACATGGACCATGGCAGTGGCGGCGTTTTTGATGAAAAACCTGGGTTGATTGAACGGACGAAGTGATCTCTAACTTCTTTAGTTCTGTTTTGTGTATGGTAGACTGTAAGTTTCAAAGCTTACTTCCATAAGCGGTGGATGCCAAGTGACATAAAGTCGTTCATTGTATCATACGAGGCCGCAACGCTGCTGAATACTCCGGCCACTGTGTTGTGTCAGATTATTTTTGAAAAAATTGCGTGCCCAGATACCTCTGTCTTCTTTCTCTGCCTCGGTGACAGTCTCAAAGCCAAAATGTGTTTTTTTTTCATACTTGGAAGTTTGATGTGAAGATTGTGTCAGCCAGCCCAAAGACTTCGAAAATTGCCGTTTAGTTCCCGTTGGAAAATAATATGATCTAAAGCTCTTTTGTACGTGTCTCAAACTATTTCTTGGAATCATGACAGAGTTAGTCTTAAGGGCTATTTTCAGATCGAAACGGTACGATGAGTGCTTTAGTAAATTTATATGTAGGATCTTTATCAGCCTTGTGAGTTAAAAGTTCATAGCCTTCCAGATGTCTTGCATTGGAGTCTTGAATGTATTGGCATACGACGTTGTTTCTAGGATTTTACTATCTTCACCCGTAGGAGGTACACTGATTCTGAATTAATTCAGATAATCATAGTACCTCATCATCCTGTTAGAAATGATAAACCCCTGGAAGCATGAAAATCTTGCGATACTCACATCCATCACTCTTGTTGTTTCGCGCGCCACCAAACGCGCAAGGCACCGCTCAGAGCTCCCATCTATGTATGGGGAAGATACCTACGCAAGTGTACCTAAGAGTTGAGAATCTAGAGCTGAATCTATCTGTATGGATTCAGAAGATGAGTTCATGGACCCAAGGCTGGAAAACAAATATCTTCCTAACCATTACCCCGAAAAATCATCTCCACTTACTCTAGTTCCTATGCTAGCAACGGCTATTCAATAGCTCTCCCCGAAAAAGTCCTCAAAAGATATTCTATTCTGGGTCCTTCTAGCCCTTTTCACGCTGTAAGCAAACGCAACGGTGCAATTGAGCCAAAAACTTCTTTTCGGAACAACGCCTAAGAAGAGGGGCGCAAAATTTCTGGAACAGAAGAAGTAGTTGACAAAAATGGTGTCATGTTCAGATTACTTCATATTAAGTGATAAATGTGCTCCATAATTGCAGATGTAAGTGCATAGAACTTAAGCCATTAGATTTTGGGTCACCTGATTCACTTTCTTCCCATGATATCATGGAGTCAGAAATTACAAGTACTGCCATTGTGATGCATAATAACTGTAGCTATGACCCCTTTGAAGGGCACTGTTTCCCATAAGGAAACTAAAATGAGGGAAGAGCTACTTGTGAGCCGGACCTAGAAGAAAGAAAAGCCAAATCAAAGATTTTGAAACTTATAATGACAATATCCTAGTAGCAAGAGATCTATTCATCAAAGCTGCTAATCAGTAGTAGATCAAATCTCGCCAAACAAAGATTCTTGGTCTGCTTAACATATTTCGGGAATTTATGGAAAATAATGGCAATACAATCCTATCTGCTCAAGTATAGGGACTGGAGCAAATTGCTCAGATTCTATAGACATCAATACAGAGATCAATTAATGCAAATCAGAACGGGCAGCACATGATAGGACACAAAATTTAACCCAATATCCCCCAGAATACCAGACCAAACGCAAGAAATAGAGGTAGACTAGGCCAAAAATAGTCCAACTAACAGAATCAGACCAACCAAGCTACAAACCAAATACCTAAAATTTGTGCCAAAATTACTTCAAAAACCAGGGCAAATCAAAACTAGACTACAAGAAAATGGATTGAATAGCAACCAAAGAAGAGGAAAGCACCTTCGAAACCTAGAGATAACAATAGTATAATTCTCATCCTAGATGAGGATACAAGTACTGACTTCTAGGCACTCACTTTTCGGGATAGAATCAATGAGGAATACAAAAAGAGGCGGGTTCAATGACCAGTAATAGCACTAGTCTTCAAGAAACGAAAGGACAATATAGCTGTAGTTACCATACCCTCTTATACTGCTGGATATTTTCACGGAATAAGCTCGTAATTTGAGCGATCGATTAAACGAAGTATACGAAGTTTATTCTGATTTTTTAAAATAATGATAACACAAGAACAAATAAAATACGGAATAAATGCATCTACAAGAGAAGGATATCTTACAGGGGGTTGAAATAGTGGGCCCTGAGGCCAAAATTAAATGTGGACTGCATACAGTGAATGTGAGGAATTCGTGTACTAGATTCCGTAACAGATATATGTAAGAGAACGGGGATTTACGGAGAAATTCTATCCTAAATGTGGTGGCATTTAAAGATGAAGCATGGTACAAAGTCGTTGTATACGGAGTACCAGTAGCTGCCTTTCCGAACCATACAAACCTCTCTGAAGTAATTGAAACATTCAACCAAGGACTGAAGGTAATTAGACAACCATATTGGATCACACCCCAAGAGAAACTTCAGACACATATGCCCGGGTCAATTGTTATAGCATTTGAGACGAAGGCAGGAGCAAAGCTGGCTACCAATAAGAGATTAATTATTACTGAACTCTCTTTGAAGGCCGAAAATTTTTATAACATTCCAGTATCAACTCAGTGCAATAAATTCCAGAAATTCGGACACCTGGAGACCAACTGTAGGTAGCAGGCTAACTGCAGGTACTGTACGAGACCCCACAACACTAGACAACATTGCTGTACTCAGTGCAGAAGCATTAGAGTTAGATGCGTCCATATAATGCCAAAATGCAACAACTCCACTGGAGCTCACACAGATGACTATAAGGGGGTTGAAACCAAGTTATCCATCCTGACTAGGTAACAAAAAATGGACAGCTCTGAGGAAATTCCATGCCTGCACAACTTAATACACAACAGTGCAATTAAAATAGAAGTTTCGTTATGAATCTACTTATGAGCAGATTTACGAAGCTGTTCAGCTATAGAGTTCGAGTTAGTTTCGATGAAGACAAAGGTTAAAAATTAATTATTAAGAGGCAGGAAGATTAATTGAAGTTCGGATTATCGAAGATTACAAATATATATGTCATAAAACGAGAAAAATTTACAAAATTATAAATTTTTAGAACTAGAGAACAAATCGAAATATTTAGCCTGACCAAATCTGAACTTCATTGTTTCAGCTTTAAACGTAATAGTAAAATAACTCCTGCAACATGGCATCTGGATTATACATAACAAATTCATAACAAGTTTACAAGCAACCGACAATACACTCAAGCTTGCTAATGAACTGGGGGTAGGTGTGATGGGCGATCAACAAAACAATATAGTAAAGGAATGGTGGCCGATTACTGTCTATTTTCTACATACATCTCGGAAAAGTCCACCGAGGGGAGGCTACTTAAGGTGTCCCAACTCCCAATGCGCTAACCTCACTATCTATTCTACTACACCATATCCTTGATATTCCGAGTGGGCTCGTCATAGCGAAACTGGGTCGTATCGGCCCATGATTCCATATGAGACTTGCTGCAACAATATCTTGTTTCCATATTTGTTGCAACCCTATATTTGTATAGCCAAGTTGGACATCTCTTTAGATAGCAAGGCTAATGACGTAATAATGATAAATGTCCGTGCGACAGTCACTAGGAGATAGGCGCAGCCTGTAACAGTAGGCAATAAAACAGCACACGAGCCATGGATCAGATAATCTAGAACCAGTATAGACGACAGAGACATTCAATCAATCAATAATGCATCCTTCATCCAATTACTACTATGACAGGCTCAGCCCAGGCCTTAGGCGCTACATATGTCACCAAGAATCAGTAGACTTGGAACCTCCGTAAGTCACGTGGCTGAGGGAGGGGCTGTTTGTCTTCAATACCAATATCACTAGGCCCTTATTGTACGTGTATATCTGTATGTAAAGGTCTGTTGTGATCTGTGTGGTGTTTGTTCTATATGTCTAAATGCTACTACTCTACAGAGGTGGTTCAGGGTGACTTTTCTTAACACCTGTCAGTGGTGTCCCCTACAAACCTCCAGCTCTCACTGTAGAGTCTGCAGAGCCGAGATTGAGTAACAAAGTCCTCACTTCGATGAGGATTCCCAATCGCTTTCGCGGTCTGTATCGTCTTCATCTCTCAACACATTCCCCTATCACCACTATGATGAAGCTTACCACGATCAGATCAGATGTCAAGATCGGAGCCCTACTCATCACCAACCCTTGATCATGGAGGAAAAGCCATCCGATGAGTTTCCGGAGCGTACCCAGCACCCGATACGGAAATAGTGGATTGGATCAAGTCGGCCTCGACTGTTACAAAGAAGGGAGATACAGATGAATATGCGCACCTCATTTGGTCCCGGTGTCTAGGCCTCGCCTGGCTAGGTCTGCAGGTTTTTTGAGATTTTTCCCGCGCACGCAGTCTCCATTGCTACTATATGTATTATACTTTGGTAGAAGGTTCCGTGGAAAAGGTGGTCAAATTCCGAAGGTAAATACTGAGCTGAATGGCTATCCATCACGGACAATATATCAATGATCTTTCAAGTAACAAAAGAGTATAGGAGCACTGTACAAGGTGTGGCCTGGATCAGAGGGGAGCCCAATGTGCTAGATAGTTATCGACTTAGGTAGTTCAATAAAATCACACACACACACAATTCGAGAATTTTGAAAATTCATTTTTTTCCTCTTTCCTCCCTTCTCGACCTCGTCGCATCCATCTCTGAATTGTGATCGAGCTCAAGCATTTTCACCATGCCTCCAGTTCGAAAAAAGAGTCCCAACGCCAAGTTGGACAACACGAGAGTCCGCCCGAGGGCTCTCGAACAATTACCTGGCCTTGTACAGTCTCCGAAATGCGCGGAGATGAGTAAGGTCTCAACTAAAGGGAAGGAAAAAGCCCTCCCCGTCGTCACTGAGCCCGTGTTGGAAATATTGCGCAACGTAATGGGCGCAATATTTATGGAACAAAAGTAGAAGTTGACTAAAAGAGTGTCATGTTCGTATAAAAGCTATAAGTGTGGGAGATGTGCGCTACATGTACAAGTGTAAGCCACACCATAAACGAGTGTGGCGCCATCTGTAACGGCTGGTAAGCCGATTGGTTCCTGTAGCGCATGTTGGCCAACATGAGCCTAGCCTGATATTGGTAGCGCACGATTGATCGACATCAATGTGTGGATATATGATGCCACTCAACAGAATATCAAGGCATCGGCATCTAGTTCGGCAGGGCAGCAGTATTGGACCATACAGCTACAACACATGTAAAGAATCCCATTGGAACCGAGAGGGAGGGACTGTGCCTCAACCACATAGACAATGTATATATAAGTATAGATAGAGACTGAATTAGTTTTCTCTTCAGAATGATAATTTACATACTATCGACCACAT